AGTAATAGAGATACTAAATTTTGTCTATTATTTATATTATGTGTTTCTCCCCTAAGTATATTACTCATCCTTTAAATTTTGTCAATATCTTTAGACATACAAAATCAAAATATTTTATAAATTCCAAGGTATTTAGTCTTTCTCAAAATTCCTTTTTGCCTGTGAAATTGTCTCCTATACCTAAATCATATATGGAGTCTCCTACTTTTTCTTGGAGATTTTTTTGTTTTATTGTTTTGGTACTTTACATTTAAAGCTTCATGAATGTGAAATTTATTTTTCTGTGGAGTTTAATATGACAGTTCATTTACAGTATAACTTAAAATGATAGCCAATTGATCCAGTATCATTTATTGAAAAAATTTTTATGAAGGTTTATTTTTATTTTCTGTGTATGTGTGTTGCCTGCATGCATGTAAGTGCAGCACATGTGTGTTTTGCCTGCAGAGGCCAGAAGAAGGGATTGGATACCCTGGAACTAGAGTTATGGATGGTTGTTAGCTGCCGTGAGGGTGCTGGGAACCAAACCCTGGTCCTCTGCAAGAGTAGCCAGTGCTCTTAAGCACTGAGCCATTTCTTCAGCCCAAGAACAATTTTTTTTCTAATAGAATATTTGTAAAAATTAGAATGTTGGATTGAGAGTGCAACTTAGTGGCAGAGCTTTTACTTAGTAGACATGACAAAAGTCCTGGGTTCCACAGTATACTCCATAAATGTACATAATTATGATGTGTCAAAGAAAAGTTGAAATCTCATGTACACTAAAACTTTCTAGTTTTAGTTACTTAGATAAGTTACTTGATAGTCCTGCTTTTTCATGTGTGAAATGGGTAAATATTTCTGAATTCATTTATTTTTTTAATTTTAAAAAATTTTTTTGTTCTTTTTGAGACAGGGTCTCCCTATAGCCCCAGCTGGCCTGGCACTCACTATGTAGACCAGGCTGGCTTTGAACTCATAGAAATACGCTTGCCTCTGCCTCTGCCTCTCAAGTGCTGGGACTACAGGTTTGTGTCACCACACCTGGCCTCATTTGTTTCCTGTAGGAGAAGCCTATAACCCATGCTCGGATGTGTGCCTTTCTGAGTACTTCTCTTTTGCCCTTAACCCTCATACTTAAGCTTATACTAAATATCTTTATTCCCCACCCCCAAAGAATTAAATGAATGAAATACTGTGAAGCATCAGCATAAAGCCTGACATATAGGAAGTTCTCAGTAAACAGGAGCTAATATTCTTGATCTTTTTTGGAGGTGGGGTGGGGTGGGGGAGTTGTAGAGACAGGGTCTCATGTAGCCTAGGCTTGTCTCAAACTTCATATGTAGTAGCTGATGTTGACCTTAAACTTCTGATTCTCTTACTTCCTCCATTTAAGTGCTGGGATTACAGGTGTGTACCTCCACACCCAGTTTATGTACTGCTGAAGATTGAACCCAGGATTTCATGCATGCTAGGCCAAGCATTGTACCAACTGCACTATATATTTCACCCCAATTTTTTTCATTCTTTGTGGTGTACTCATAGGTACCCCAACACCAGGGAGAAATGAATCAAAGTCTTACGGTCTGATAACACAATAGGAGTACCAGCCATAAGTGACATAATGAAACCTCTATAGCTAAGGCTCACAGAACACAGTGGAACAGGGGGTAGAGAACATACTAATACATCTCTCAATTCTTACCAGTGCAGCTTCCTCATGCAACAGAGAGTGATTAACACAGAAAGTCACAACTGACCAAAATGTATAGAGTAAGAGATTATAGAGTACATGCCACTGGATAGTACTGCTGTATTAAACCTCACCTTTTCAGGGCTCAGGGACCATTGTGAAAGAGGAGGCAGAAAGATTAAAAGAACCAGGGGTGGTGGATTGACCACAAGGAAACAGAGTTTTCCAGGCTTCTGGGATCTTGCTCATATCAACATACCGCAATGATGACAGCATGCACAAGACCCATGCAAACAAACTAGAGAAAAAAAAAACAGCATAGAGTTGGGGAAATAGGCAAGAAGCCCCATCCTTAGCTGAGAAGCTGTTGGCAGCTGATCACTGCTAGATGAGGGAGAGTTGGTCTTCTTTAAGGGAGTGATTCTAGATACATTGACCAGGCTCTAGTGGATTAACTCACAGTAAGAGACATCTGGGGACACAAACTTGATTTGATAGGTCTTAACGTACATGATAGAACGCATAAAATCCAGTGGAGGGTTGTGTGGGAGTATGGATAGGGGAGGTGGTCTAAATGTGATTAAGATGTATGAAATACACAAAAATTCAATAAAAATATATTGTGAAAAAACAATAGAAGAGTGATTTTCTTGTCATAAGAAAATAAATATTTCCTGATCATTATCTGCAAGCATAGAGGTTAGACTTTTCTCTTAATGGACATAAATGCAACCCTCATACTAATCTGATAAGTATGCATATTATGAGGTATACATATTCTAATTATGAGGAAAACTGAGGCTAAAAGAGTTTAACACCTATGGTAGAATTTAGATTAATGTTTAGAATACTCATCCTGCCACCATCATAATCTGGTTCTCTGGTTTTTCAGTATCTATTCTGCCCATAGCGTCAGACATTATCAGGCTTAATTCTGACAAATGTGTACCTTTGTCCTTAGGACGATGATATTAAGGCACACCTGTGTAAATTCACTCAACCATCAGAAAACAAGCTTCAGTCTCATTCCCATAGGAGTGTGTATACGTGTGTGTATGTGTGTGGGGGGGTGCTTTGTGGGCATGAATGGCCAGGCTTTATTTTACAGGTTTGATTTGTAAGAGCTAGTCCTCTGTGCCTTAATCTTTCTTTGAAGTAATTGGGGAGAGCTTAGAGGAGTCAGATGCAGAATGTCAGCAGCTAGTGAGTCTGGAGAGATCAAACTTGGGGGTCATGTGCTTTACTGTGATGGTCCAGAGTGTGAGGAACCAGAGGGATGAGGCTACTGTAGAAATCTCGAATTTATATACAAGATTTAGAGTAAGAAGGAGATGAATTCAAGCATGAGTGTCTATAAACATAAACATGGTTACAAAGTGTTGAGACTTTAGCAGGCATGTGTTACACAGCAAAGGCTCCAGAGACACAAGATCATGTGACTTTGTATCCCTGATAAATGTGAGCAGTTTCCCTAAGCATTATGTCTTAGATCAACGTCATTATAAGCAAAGCCCTAGAAGGGGTTCCTTAGGTCAGTGATTAATTGAGGAAGTAATTTTATGAGCGACCTGTTGTTGGTTGGGGGTGGGAGAGTTTAGCCTTATCCTGATACTAGAGAGTATTCTGGAAAATAAACAGCATCATAGAAATTGTTCAGTCCAGGAGTGAGCAACAAGGTAGTTCTACCTGTATATCAGTTAGTCACTGGAAGGTTGACTATGACATCACAGCAGTCTCCAGGTAACATAGCTCTTATAGGCTAGGCTTAAATTCCTGAGCTATTGGTAGTCTCAAGTGCTTCATTTGATGATGATAATCCTTACCTCATCATAGCAGGGTAGAAAAGCAAAGAATGAATGTAAAGCCCAATGATAACTTTGCAGAACTAAAACAAGGGATGGGGTTTCTAGGTGCTAACAGAGAATCTTGTTTTCCAAAGACCTAGTTTTATTTACTATTGCTTGATATATCAGCAATTGGTCTAGCTTAAGAGTAAATTGTTGGTAGAATCCAAGACTTGAGAGTTTAGAGTAGGATATATTGGTTACTTGTTGCTAATAATGTAATAAATTACTATAAATTTATTTGCTTAAAACTACATAAATTTATTATCATACAATTCTGTATGTTGGAACTGTGACATAGGTCTCAGTTGCCTAAAAGAAAGGTGTCTTCTTTTTTTTAAAATTTTCTATTAAACTTAAAAAATTATTATTTGTATTTTATGTGTATGCATGTATTGCCTGCATGTAGGTATGTGCACGCACCCGTATTGCACAGTGCCCATGGAGGTCAGAAGAGGCTGTTGGATCCCCTGGGACTAGAGTTACAGACAGTCGTTAGCTGCCATGTGGGTGCTGGGATTTGAACCCGGGTCTTCTGCAAGAACAACCAGTGTTCTTAACTGCTGAGCCATCTCTCCAGCCCCAGGTGTCTCCATTTATAGAGCATACTAGAGAACTATTTGTCTCCTATATTTTCTCTTTTTTTTTTTTGAGGCTACCTGCATTTCTTGGATCATGGCCCCTTCCTTCTTCAAAGTCAGCAATGGCCATGGCATCACTCTGATATTCTGTCTCCCTTTTCCTTTTATAAGGATCCTTGCAAATACATGGACCATATCTAGATAATTCAGGATAATGTCTCTGTTTCAAGATCCTTAACTCAACCACATCTTAAAAGTCTCTGTTACCATTGTAGGGTAACTTATTCCTAAAAAGTCCTAGGGTTTTTGATGTAGACATCTTTGGGAGGTCATTATTCTGTGCACTGCACAGGGGTTGGCAAGCTTTTAGACAGTAAACAGCCCTTGTTGCTAGAGAGTAGCTTGACTGTTCTCCAATGAAACTTGATTTAGGGACACTTAAATTTGAATTCCATGTAATTTCTATGTGCCACAAGCTATTGTTCTTTTGATTATTTTCCTCAATCACTGAAAAATATGAAATCTAGCCATAACATTGCATCTTAAACCAAAACAAATGACATGTTGGCTTTGGCTTGTAGGGTGTATAGATTTAAAATATTTTCATCCTAGCTCATCTAAAATTTTAAGAAACAGTTTAGAAGAGTTCCTTCCCCATGCTTGGCTGGGTGTCATACATATTTCAAACCTTGACCTTGCAGTCTGCAACCACTTCTTTTTGGTTTTTGTTCCCCCAAGTGAATAACCCTCCTTTTAATTTTTCATGGCTGTTACTGAAGGTAAAATGATAACGGTTGGTCTTGAAATCTTGTTTCTTTGTAGATGGAAACACAGACATAATGAAAACACTCAAATTATGTGAGTTAATCAGAGAAAGTCATCTGTGTATTGACATTTCTATTTTTTCCCATTAAATCAGAGCCACTGAGAATATTGTTAACAGTTTATTGGAACTGGCTCAATTGGTGAGAATAAAAAGGTGGGTGAGAATGTACTGTGGATCATAATAAGACAGAAATTGTTACATTTAGGAGTACATTGCTGGGGTTAGTTTGCCATCTCCCAACGTATTATGACTGTTTCTGATTTATTGGATGTAATTTGCTCTTTTAAAATATGACATTTGGCTTGCTATAATATTCACATGCTTTTTCTGAATGATAGTTCCACAGGAAATACTTTTATTTATTTATTTTGCTTTTTCCCTTCTCTTAGGTGAAGGGGAAGAGGACCCTGGGAGAAAATATTGCTGATAATGGAGGTCTGCGAGAAGCTTTTAGGGTATGTGCTGTTATGTTTGCTGGGCTTTAAAAACCAACTCATGAACTTGTTTATGGGGTATATACCTCAGCATATACCACAGGTGTATGATTGAGGAGTTGGTTGTTTTGAAATCTCTATAAACACATTTGTATTTTCCCGTTGACTCTGTTACAGTCTAATAGATAAATGTAGCTGTATTTATTTATTCTTTCCTTTGGGGGGTATAAAGTTACCCTAAAGAATAATAGTTATTACTAAAAAATGTATATTTAATGTATAGTTTTCAGAAAATTTACTCAAAATCACATCAGAGTATGCTGCAGAAGTCTCCTTGGGGCTAAGCGCATTTGAGTTTTCCTTGAGGACAGCCTCTCTCTCTCTCCTCTCTCTCCCTCCATTTTTTCTTTTTTTCTTTTCTGTTTTGAACTTTTTCAGACAGGGTCTCCTTGTTTCCCCAGCTGACCTGGAATTCATTATGTAGACCAGGCTGGCATCAATCTCACAGAAGTCTGCCTGCTTCTGCTTCCAGAGTGCTGGATTAAAGGCCTGTGCCACCATGCCCGGGTGTCATTTGTTCTTAAAGCATCAGACTTCTAACTTATGGCCAGAGGTCATCATTTATTCTTATATATTGGACCAGTAAGAGTCTAATAGAGTGCTTACATCATCCTCTGATGTGTTTAACAAGAAGCATAGCGATAGCATGGATAGATTTGCATAAAGTTGAATGCATTTGCTTTATGTACCAGGCTATTTTTCTGTGGCGTTAGGTTTATTTGCCTTATGTTGGAATGGAAAAAACACTTTTTTAAGAGTTACCTATCATCTGAACATGTGGATGTTTTTTTTTTTTTTTTTTTTGAGACAGAATCCCACTCTATAGTCCAGACTGACCTCAAACTCACGGGAATGTTGAGTTGCATTTCCAGGTGTTTGTCTTCTAAAAGGAAAACTTGACAGAATGCATTTTACAAATGGCAGGAGTATGTATTAAAACTTTTGTGCTGAGAATGAAAAGAGAAAATATATCATTTGTTCTGCTTCTCTTTCTAGGCTTACAGGAAGTGGATAAGTGACAGAAGGCAGGGAGTTGAAGAGCCTCTCCTACCAGGCATCACATTCACCAACAACCAGCTCTTCTTCCTGAGTTATGCTCATGTAAGTAAATTGAGGAAAGGGAGAGCATCAAAGTAAAAAATGGAGGCTGTTAGCTTGTGCCCTTAATTGAAAGCTTAGAATAAAGTTTACTGCTATAACTTTGGTTATTGCCAAAATTTTATTTTGGTGATTTTTTTCAAGATAAATTTCCCCTTGTTAATGTTCTGTGTCTCATAAATAATGAACCAGTTGAATCAAGTTATAGGTATTTTAATTGAGTATGTAACCCACTTGATGTTTCTTCAATACGTCTTGACGTCTTAATGTATCTAGTACTATTTGTAGCCATTTCTGGTAACACATTCTTTGTCTCTCATGTTCTCCTTTCTACATTTTTGCTTTGCTTTTCATGCATTTGCTGACTTTATTCTACCACCTTGAACCTATGGGGGACCCTCAGGAGTAGGTTCCCAACTGTCATTGGATAGTCAAAGACTACTATTGGAGCAGGAAAAGTCCAACAAAGGCAAGGAGAGTAGTGTCATTCTTTCATAAGTTTAATAATACTTTCTTGGAACAGAAAGTGACAGGAAGACATAGTAAGGCACAAGTCTGAGTCTGGGTCCACTTGGTGAATGAGGCCAATGGCACGTCTTTCTTATTGGCCACTGCACTAGTTTTTGTCACAAGTGCATGGGTAACATTATCAAAGAAGTCAGGGATGTGTTAATAAAGGTTTAATGCATGATGTCATGGTGGACCAATGTGTATGTATAAGCTCAAGGCTAGACAAAAATTTTCATTACTGTATAACCTTTTGCTCCCAGGTCTTTGCACTCATTCTCAGCAAGCACATTTATCCTCAAGTGTCCTCCAATTGATTCTGGTGAAGGGATTTACACCTATCTTGAAGATTTTATCTCTTAAAGCTGAAATGATAATAGTAAACCAATTCTCATATATTAACTTGATGTCAACAAGACTGTAGTCATGAACAAAATGACTTTTCTTTTTAGTTTTTCTATGTCTATCAGTACCCCCATTCCCCCATCTTTGTGTATCTCTTGTTATAAGCCTGGATTCTTATGTATTATTTAATATAACAATATTTTATGGTGTATGTCACAAAAGCTAGATATTTCATTCTTGTGTATGCGTGCATGCATACATGTATGCATGCATGTGTATGTATACACATCTTTATGTGCATATGGGTATGTGTGTATGTATGTTTGTGCAGGTACATATGAGTGTGTGTATGTACACAGGCATGAGGAGACCAGGGTAAATCTTGATTGTCATTCCTCAGGAGTCATCTACATTTTTCTTTTGAGACAGAGACTCTCATTGGCCTGGGGCTCACTGATTAGGCTAGAATGGCTGGGCAGTGAGCTTCAGGAATCTGCTTGTCTCTCCCCACTCCTCCAGTATTAGGAATGCACTATGCCAAGCATCTTTATGTGAGTTCTAGAGTTTGAACTTGGGTCCAGCACCAAGTACTTCACCAAATGCACTATCTTCCAATCCCTGTCATTTAAGTGATTTTCAGATGCAACTTTTTGTTTTTTTGTTTTAGGGAGTTCAGGCTGCTGTAACAAAGTACCTTAGACTGAGTGGCTTACAAATGACAGAAATTTATTTCTTATAGCTCTGGAGGTTGGGAGGTCTCAGATAAGAGTGCCAGTCAGGTTGGGTTCTAGTGAGGGCTCTCTTCTCGACTGAAGATTACTGACTTTGTGTTGTGGCCCCAGGTGGTGAAAAGAGTTATTGAGCTGTTTGGAGTCTTCTTATAAGAACAATAAACACATTCATGAGGAATCCACTCTTGTGGCCTGGTACTTTCTAAAGGCCTGCGTCCTAACACCATTCAATTTAGGTAAAGGTTATAATACAGAACTTTGAGAGAATCATAACACTTAGCCCATGGTATCCCCATTGTCCTGTCTCATTATCTGTAGCCTAAGCCTTGATATCTTCTATTCTGGCCAACCTTATGTTATGCTTCCCTAACTTTAGCAGCTTGTACTATTCTTTTACCGTCCACGGAAATACCACTTTTATTTCATTACTGACCTGCATGAAGAACTTCTGTGTTTCCTAAATACCTATCATATTGAGCCTAAAACCTCCATCTGACTTTCAGTTTTCAGCCTGATCCAATTCCATATGATCCCTTTTCATTGACTATAGCTCCATTGGTTGAGAAAAGTTCAATGTTAGCTAAGCAGCTATCCCTACTTCCATCTCCTGGTGATGTGCTCATTACTGTCTTTGTGGCTTTGCTTCATTTATGATGTGACCCCTCCTATGCTTCTCTCTCAAATTATTCAACCCAAACTGTTCTTTCTGCATTCACATTGCATTTGTCTTCCTCCACAACTTCCATAAACTCTTCCCCTAAGGACTCTAGTCCTCATTTTTTTCTTGTATCTTGAACTTGTTTGTGATTATCATCGTTACTGTGCTGGATAGCTTTAGTGTCAACTTGACAGACCTGGGTTGAGGGCACCTCAACTGGGGAATTGCCTCCATAGGACTGGCCTGTGGCCATGTCTGTGGGGCATCTTCTTGATTGTTGACTAATGTGGGAGTGCCCAGCCCACTGTGGGTGGTGCCACCCCTGGGCAGGTGGGCCTGTGTTGCATAAGAAAGCAGGCTGAGCAGGGGCCAGGGGAGCAAGCCAGTAAGCAGTGTTCCTCCATGGCCTCTGCTCCAGCTCCTGCTTCCAGGTTCCTGTCCTGAGTTCCTACCTTGGGCTCCCTGATGAACTGTGACCCGGGAGATTTAAGCCAAATAAACCCTTTCCTCCCCAAATTGGTATTGGTCAAAGTGTTTAGTCGCAGCAATGGAGAAACAAACTAGAACAGTTACTATGCAGTTGAGTACATGATTCATCTCAAAACATTTAAGACTTTTAGTTTTACCTCCACAGTGAATCTGGATCCTCATGCTTCTTATGTATTTCCATAACACCCAGCAAAGATGTTGGCTATATTGAAGAAACTTGATATATTTAGGTCAATTGCTAGAAATGGACAAGAGAAAGATAATTCAACTAAAGAGGCTTCCTTTTATGTCACTACCGGGTCAAATATAAAAATAAAGTGAAAAAATAAGCATACACTAAAACAGTGTTTTCTGGTTAGAGTTGACAAGCAGGGGAAATTAGAGCCTACTGTTTGATTTTATAAATGTTTTAATTAGAAAACATCCATATCCTGTCATGTACATATCGTCTGTGCTTGGATTTATGTTACAATGGTCGAGTTGACTAGTTGAAAGAGAGACCTTATGGTCTTCAAAGCCTAAAATATTTATCATTTGTCTCTTCACAGAAAAAATTTTGCTAACCTCTGATCTAGAAGACAAAGTACAAGAGTCTGTCTGTTCTCAATGTTTACATTCTAACCCACAATAATTATTTGTAAATGAAATGAGCTAATTGAGAGAGATGCCATAATTACAATTTTAAAATACCTTTAAATATAAAATTTATTTCAAGCTAAAGAGATTTAGGAGGAAAAGAGCAACCCTTTAAAAAATTACTAATAAGAAATTTCTCTTTGAGATCTTTTTCCTCACTGACTGAATGAGGAGATTTTTAGTCTTTTGTACATTGGGCTAAGCCTGCTTATATGGAACATGTTGTTTTGTATCCCAGAGAACAGTAACAGACATAACGTGTTTTCAGGAATCTCTTAAATGACTTATAAAACAAAGTCAATACTATATAATAATGTATGCAAAGTCTATAAGAAAAAATAACCTAAGAAAAGAGGTAAAATCAAATGTGAAAAACAAGCTCACATTAGCTAGCTTCTGAGGAAATTAAGGAATCACATTACAAGACATCGTTAAAGTCACATTCATAAATACAGTGGCTGATGGCTTATCTTTATGAAAACAATACTATCCTATCACCTTTCCTGTTTCCCTATATGCCTGTGGTTACTCTGATCTGTCAATTGATTTTTCAGGCATTTTTTTTATCCTTCTGGTTCTTTCCATTCCCATTTCTACTTACTGAGCAGATATTAATTGCCTACAAATCATCTTCTAACTAATCTATAATTTCTTCCTCTTCCTATATACTTCTGCCAGATAAATCTTTCAAAAATATGAATTTTATTTTTGAGAACAATATTTAAATATTGTTTAAACACTTAGGCCTGCTGCCGAGAACTTCAGAAATCTTGCAGGAGCCCTTTTCTCCTCTGGTCACTCACAGATGCTTAATCAAACCAAATGACTTGCTTTTCCCACCTGTCAATCATTTTCTCATTTCCCCTTCCTAGAATGCTTTCCCATATATTGACATACCCTAGATATATTCATATTTCAATATTATATCATGTTTCAAGAAATATTTCAAATCAGTATTAAGTAGGTTATACCAGAAAAACCAACAGAACAGTAAAAGTTTATTTCTTGTTCTTGATCCATGTCCAAGATGTGACATCAGTAGGGCTCTGACTGTAGTTTTTACTCAAGGAACTGTGTTTGGGAGTCTTTAATATGTGCTTCCATGGTCACCAAATAAATACAAAATTAATATGAGGATGTACCTTGGCCTTTTTATTTGGTATGTGTGTATGTATATATATATATATATATGTTTGTATGGTGTTGTGCGTGTATATGGTGTATGTACCTATTAGTGTGTGTGTGTGTGTGTGTGTGTGTGTGTGTCTGCATGTACATGTGGAGGCCAGCAGTTGATGTTGGATATCTTTCATTGATTGCTTTCACCTTTATTTTCGATTTGTTTTTTATTTAAAATGTGTTTTCCCTGCATGCATGTAAAGTGCACCTGTGTTATGCAATTCCTGTGGGAGACCAGAAGAGGGTGTTGGATCCCCCTAGAACCAGATCAAGGATGGTAGTTAACTGCCTAGTGGGTGCTGCCATGTGGGTGGTAGGAACCAAATCCAGGTCCTCTGCAAGAGCAGCCAGTGCTGTTAACCATTGAGCCATCTCTCAAGGTCTACACTTTTTTGGTATTATTTTTTTTGAAACAGGTCTCCCTGTAGCCCAGCTGGCCTGGAACTGGCTATGTAGAC